GCTTCCCCGGCCCTTTCCTTTCTTGTGGCTTCCCGTAAAGCCCAGCAGCCCCCAGACGTCTGCAGAGCATCACGGAATCTGTGCTGATGCAAGTCGCCGGCCTCCCTTTGGTGCGCCCCGGCCTGCCTGCGAGAGCTTTGATCCCTGCCTGGCCCTGCTCCCGAACGTGTGCTGGTTTCCCGAGCCTTCCTGCCTTCCTGGAGTCCTACGTTCCACAGCCTAGGCCACATTTCAGTCTTGTGGCACCGGAGGCAGAGCTGCTCCCCAGTGCTGCCCCGGGATTGGCCTCCCTTCGTTCAGTGGATGCCTGAATTTTACCTTATCTAAACCCAGTTCGCCGGCGCCTACGTGGGAAGACATCCCCGGGGGCACGCAGTTAGGAAGGGCCCGGAGTAAGATGCTAAGAACAGGGATTAAGCCCTGGTGTCATGAATCTTGAGGAAAACAACGGATACTGTCTATTGTAATCTTCACAGCAAACATTTGAGGTGGCTCTCATTCCCAGGTGTCAGTTCAAGAAAATAACGTTAAGTAACTTGTCCACGGGAACCGGTCAGTGTGCAGTAATGAATCGGAAATACAACCAGACTCTGACAGAGTCTGCCCAGTCCCTCCGCCCCCGCATTACCTGCCTCCTACCAGAATGTCTTTCTGGCTTTCTAAGCACGGACTTCATTTGTTCAAGGATTTAACTGACACTTCAAAGTGCTCATTCTTTCTCGTCTAAGTAAATATGTGGAGTGAGGGAAAGAAGGAGAGAAGCCGAGATGAGGAAAAACAGCCTTCTAGGCTGATTCTTCATTGCCTCTCTGGGTGTCTGGACACCTCCCTCCCCCGCAGCCGCCAGTTTCCTTGTTTGCCAATCCAGCCCCCCCCCCCCCTTGCCCTTGAAAGATGCCTTGGATCCTTAGAATGTAGAATGGTTGTCCCTCTGGCCACACTGGCCGGCCCATCTGAGCACTTCGTGAAGACCTTTCTTTCTCACGTATGGCTTCACTTCCAACATCCCCCGGAGGAGCATAGATTGCTGTTAGCCAGACTCGGGATTGTCAAAGCAAAGTCAAAGAATAAAATGGCAAAGCAGCCTCCTTACTATGGCCCAGCCTGTGGATGTTTGTAGCTGATCGCAAAATGGTCTCACAGGACCTTAAACCCAGGGCTCTGCAACCTTGACAGTCTACAGTTTCTACAGCTCAGTGAGAAACCTACCCTCCCACACTGCCGGGAGGAATCTGCAATGGTAACTTTATAGTAAACAATGCATTTAGATGATGTCTTAACATTCCTGAAAGCATTTAAATTTGAAGCCTGAGTCTTGGTTAGGGTGCCTACTGCTATGAGGAAACACCATGACCCAAAGTAGCTTGGGGAGGAAAGGGTTTATTTTGCTGGCTCTTCCCCATCACAAGAAGTCCTGGCAGGAACTGGCAGGAACCTGGAGGCAGGAACTGAAGCAGAGGCCATGAAAGAATGCTGCTTACTGGCTTGTTCCCTACTTAGTCTGCTTTCCTATATGGCCCAGGACACCTGCTCCAGGGCGGCATGGTCCCAGTAAGCTGGGCCCTTCCACATCAATCTTTAATAAAAAAGAATATATTACAGACTTGCCTCCAGGCAAGCTGATGGTAACATTTTCTCAACTGAGGTCCTCTTCCCAGATAGCTCTACCTTGTGCCAAGTTGTAACAGAAGGAAGGAAGGAAGGGAGGGAGAGAGAGAGAGAGAGAGAGAGAGAGAGAGAGAGAGAGAGAGAAAGAAAGAACCTGTCTAATATAGAAGTGTTTGGGTCTGGGTGGGAGGTTAAGACAAGGTTTCTCTGTGTATCTCTGACTGTCCTAGAACTCACTCTGTAGACCAGGCTGGCCTCGAACTCACAGAGATCTGCCTGGCTTTGCCTCCTGAGTGCTGAATTAAAGGCTTGCGCCACCACTACCTGGCACTGCTTGGGTTTTCTAAGGACCCACCTATAAATTTATCAGGGGAGGGGGCATCCGCAAGCAGATTTCAGCTCAAGTGGTTCAAAGGAAAAGGTCATTGTGGGAAGCTCGCTGGGGCAGGGTTGGGGCTGAGCCAGAAGGGGGGTTGGATGGGTTGGGAGTGAGGGAGAGCAGAGAGGGGTATGGGGAGGTGGGGGTAGAGGGTTGAAGAAACAGAGAACTTGATATATTTAGTAGCTGACAACAGCCAGAAACAGACCACCAGCAGTTGCGGGGGCCTGGAGAAATGCCCCCCTTAAACTGTTCAGAGCCACTAATCCTGAAGGGATGTGTTTGTGTCTATCAGGTGGGATTCCAGGTTAGTCTTAGAACTTCTCCAAAGGGACCCACAAGGACATGGGTGTGAGGTGCTGAGTGAACTAGGTATCTTTTCCTTCGGTGGTCATATACCATCGTCTTGAGGACCCAAAGGCTGCTTATGGCGTATCCATTCTGAGACAGAACACATACACTTCTCTCAGTATATACTGGAGAGCTACAATGATCACAAGCTATGAAGACAAAAAAAGTGCATGGTGGGACACATCTATAATCTCAGGTGAACCCAGGAGGATCAGGAATTCAAGGTCATCGCTATCTACATAGTGAGTTGAAGATCAACCTGGGCTACATGAACTCCCTCCCCCAAGGAGGGGTGGAGGAGAAAGTCATATTTAATGAAATGTTCTACCATAATGGTTCTGAGGACCAAACTGGGTCCTGTGCAAGAGCAGCCTGTGCTCTTAACTACTGAGCCATCTCTCCAGCCCCAGGACAGCTCCAACTGTCTGTAATTTCAGTTCCACAAGATCCAACATGTTGTTCTGGTCTCCCAGGGCACTGCACACATGTGGTGCACAGACACAGATGCAGACAAAACACTCATCCACACAAACTGGTAAATAAAATGCACATCTAGTGGGTGTTAGAGGTACCTATGTGCACACACATCGAACTCATGGACTGTATCCTTAAGGTCGCAGAGTTCGGTTCACCCTGCTGAAGTGTGTTACCCTCAATAAAATCAAGCAGCAATGGACAGAGCCCTCTGTGGCCTCAACCCACATATACAGTTATAGTCCTACGCCAAGTAACAATGCTTTGGTCAACAGCTGCCTGGGGGACGTCATGACTGTCTGACCTTGGGTCAGTAGACTCTACAGTGTTTGCACAATGACAGAAGTGACACATCTCTCAGAAAGTGTTGCCATTGTAAAGTATTATAAGACTATAAATCAAAATTTGGGCAAGAAATTTTGGAAATTATATACAAAAAATGCCCTTCTCCACTCATCCCCACCCCCACTATGGACCCTGGAGACTAAGTAGGGGTTCTACCATGGAGTCAGGAAGGGGATTCTCCCTGCAACATGTGTGTGTGCATGCATGCGTGCATGCACGTGTGTGTGTGTGTGTGTGTGTGTGTGTGTGTGTGTGTGTGTGTGTG